AAACATTTAAAAATAAAATAAAATAAAATAAAACAAAACAAAACAAAATGGCATCATTTGGGTGTTTACGAGTATGTGCCCAGTGAGCATGTGCAACAGTTGAGATCAGGTGAGCAAGCCCATGCCTCAGACACTTCCTCAGCTGGCCTGTCACTCAGTTACCACTGCCAGTTGCTGACGTCACACGCTTGAAAGCTGCTCGTGGCACACAGATGAGTGGCATTTAACGCACAAATGAAAGGTTTGAAATAGTAGTGCACACGAAATAAGGTCTGTAGTCTGCTTCACAGAGAGACGCCAACACCGTGTTCCTGGTGTCACTATTGTACCGTGGCTATGTGTGATGTCACCAGGGGGCAAAGCCAGGTAGGACACTGAACGAGGTCCCGGTTAAGTCTGTAATTATTTCAGAATAAAAGGTGAAAATATGTGTGCATTCTTTGGTCTAAATAGTGTGGCTGAATGCCAGGGTATGAATTACCGTTGGGTTCTCCCCACCACACAAAACTGGGGACGGGGAGTCGAGTCTGCCCCTCCCACATTCCAAGGAGACAGCCCCAGACTGGCTGTGGCTCTGGGATCCCAGGGGAGAAATTCTAGGCCTTGCTTTTCAAAACCCTGGGCTAACAGAGGTGATCCCTAAAAAAGGGGGGCTTGGAACTTAGGTTCAGAGTGGGGTTGACAGAAGCAGGCAGGCTGAAGACAGAGGGACAAGAGGAGGGACACTCTGCACCCAGGACAGCAGCCATCCTGTGTCAGAGGCATGTCCGCCCGCGTCCAGCTGGGGCAGAGGGCCCGACCCAGCCGAGGGACCAGCACTCAGTAGCTGCAACGGACAGCAGGGAAGCCATGGGTCAGCGTGACCACCGCAAAGGACCAGAGCCCTCTCCCCGTCCCACTGTGACTTAGGGGTGACCTAAGTTCCTGCAAAGCCCCTCACCCCAGCTGAAGTTCCTGCCAGCGTTCCAGATGGTTTTCAACAGAGCCAGAGTTTTATCTAAACAAGCACTGGGGGCGCCTGGGTGGCTCAGTGGGTTAAGCGTCCGACTCTTCATTCCAGCTCAGGTCATGATCCTTAGGGTTGTGAGATCGAGCCCCCTCTGTCGGGCTCTGCACTGAGCGTGCAGCCTGCTTGGGATTCCCTCTCCCTCTCTCTCTGCCCCTCCCCTGCTCCTGAAGGTACGCTCTCTCTCTCTCTCTGTTAAAATAAATAAACATTAAAAAAAAAAAGTTAAAAAAGCATTGGCTTTTTCTGAGCTGTAATATCTAAAAGAACCTACTAGA